TGAATGCTGCAGAAGCACGGGTATCTAAGTATTATGAAAATAAATGGGTCATACACCACTGAGCTAACAACCACACCACCCCCAAGCCGGGCACTGAATGACTGTGCAGGGTTCTGCCAGAGGGAGGGGAGATGTTGAACCAGCAGTGAAAACAAAACTGATGTGGTGAGATGGATTTTACTTTTCACTGGTTTGGGTTACAGAGAAAGTCGGTCTTGCCATCACCATCTCTCAGACTTTTCTGTAAAAAAAAAAATAATAAAGCAACGTAGGGGCAGGTACGTCCTGCAGAGATGGGCCAGCATCTCACCGCCCTGGGTAAGGGGAAGTGCCGCCAGCCCTTGTCGGAGGGAGGGCTGTGACTCAGTCCCTTGGGCTGGCACACTCACACACCCGGGCTGTCACCTGCCACAGCAAAAAACAAAAGTCCTCACCACAACACCGTGACCACATGGGAAACACTGAGTAAACAGATCAATGACACTGCGTGTCCACGCAGCTTGTTGTGCCACTGGGGTGACGAACAAACAAACCTGTGGTCAATGGCAACAAGGGCAGAGGTGTCAGAATAATTTGGTTTCATATGGCATGCTGTGCTTCAACAAACACCACTATCCTCCTCTGTTGTTACCAGCTAAACACGGGCAGAATGCACCTCTTGGTCATACAGCCCACGGTTGCTGTGTGTACCCAAATGGGGATGCCTTTGGCATGGGAATCTTGGTCAGAAACCTCTGGAAAGGGACGTTGGCTCACCACTCACACACATGTGCACGCACAGCAGCTGTGTGTGAAGCTACATTGGAGCTTTTCAGACCATACTGATTATATTTGTCCAGATAAATATTTTATTTAAACATTATACATACATACATATATGTAGCTTATATATATGTATGTTTAATTTAAATATACACGCATATGCACATCTAAATAAAAAATATATTTAGTCAACAGATATATCTGCAGCAAACACTTATCAAAAGCTGTCCCCAGCCACCCATGCTGGGGGTGCAGTCTGCTTCAGGTATAGAGGAACTAATGGTGCTGAGGAGCACCCGATCACACTGAGGGACTGACGCAGTGTTGGCAGTGGTCAATGGCTTTATGCATCCTCAAGAGGGGGGTATTGGGGCAGCAGGAGTAACTGGATTATTTCTCAGCAAAGAAGATTTCCCCTAGATCTGAGGAAAGTGCTTTTTGGCAGTTGTGAGCGTGATGCCCAGGTCAGGATGCCACTGGAGGTCGTGAAGGTCCCTGAGGCAGGAGATGCTCCACACACTGGTGCACAAGGTACAGAGTCCTGATATGCCAGTACCATAAAATGGGTAAGAAAATGCCTTTGCTGTTATAAAACCAGCACTCCAACAGAAATATCATGAAATGCAGATGTGGTCACATCTCACACATCCAGTAGGATAAACCCAACTATGTCCTCAGGTATGGTCATAGCCCTTAGGCAGAGGGTTTGGTGCTGACAGCTAGCAGTGTTTGGTAAGTCAGTGTTCAAAGAGATGTAATTTTGCCTTCAGAAATCTGATTTCCTTCTTAAGTCTGTCAAATTACCTGACCTTTAAGTGCAGATTTGAAAAAAGATACATTTTTCCCAGGCTGTGGTGGTAGGCGGGTGACAGACATTTAAGCATCAAAATCTGCATATTAAAATTTTTCATTATTTACATCTGCCTACAGATGGCCATAGGATATATTTCAAGAAATCTTTCTAAATTTTTTTTAAATACTCCAAAGAACTCATACCTAGAAAATATGAAATTGCTGTACAGAGTTTTCTGAGTTTTGGGTTGTCTTATTTTTTTATCCTGTATAAGGCACTTATTGGTCCTTGCTGAATTTTCAATATTGGATAAGCAGTACAAATGAGGTCTATTTATTAGAAGCAGAATGACATTGATTGGGATGCTATTTTTGCCACTTTTAAAGGAAAACACACTCATAAAACAAAGCAAGAAATGTGAACAGAGCATGGCCACCACTAGGAATAGTCACCTGTCTCCGCTAGGATGCCAGCAGCCATGCCCCAACATCTGCTCCAAGGCACAGCCACGCCCCCAGTGCCCGAGCAAAGCTCTGTATGTACTCCGCCATTCCTGACTACTTGGGATAACAAATGGAGAGCTGCTCAGCAAAGAGTACAGATTCTCCTCAAAACCTGTACACCTTCATTATAATACACTCAGTCTAACCTACCCAGCATTAAATCCCAGAGGACCTGGAGAAATGTTTTATTTTAGTATCTTGGCACATGCACCATAACAGGGTTTTTCAATATGCTCCATCAGAACAAGGAAGGTATTTTCTGCTTTGAATTCAAACATCAGTAAGTACTATTTTTATAGAGATCATATCAATCAGCATTCTAGCAGTATTATAAAAACTAAATAATAAAGGAATGGGGGAAGCCATACTTGTTTATGAAATACACTGCACCCAGGGAAAAGCAAGAACCCCACAGTTGTTACAACAGGGTCAACCTCGTGCAACTGCTCTTTCCAGCAGGGCTAATTAACAAGGGAAAGTTCACTTCTTTCTACGGAAATTGCTATAACAAGGTAATTGTTACAAGTAGAGTCTGTCATCAAAAATAGCCAGACAGTGGGAAACACTGAGAAATCAAATAAGCAGCCAGCAGCTTGCCCTCGCATCTGCCTGTGCTGGCACAGATCCGCACACACAACGGGTGCCACCGCAGCCAACAACCTGTGAGGTGATGCTTGTGTTTTCTAGGAGTTAGAGCACACATCATGTTTTAAAAATGATGCATACCACACAACCACACTTAAAAGAGAAAGAAAAAAAATAAACCCAAAGGAAAAAAAGGTAAGGAAAGCACATATTTGATGATGGCTCCTATATCCTTACACTGGTTTTCAAGTTCATTCAGTCATCAGACCCAATTTTACCGCTGGAAATGGAGACATCTGATTATTTGTAGCAGAATAAGAAGCAAGACAAAACTTCCTATGCACCTCTTGGAATGAGAGAGAGGGGTTTTTTCCCCATTTATGTCTACTCAATTTCTGGCTGCTTTTTCAATTCCCTAACAAGGATGATATTTTTAAAGTTTGTTTCTCTGGAAGTGTTTTTAATAGTGAATTTACAAGATGCCTAATGATAAGCTTTTCAAAAGCCTGCAAAAAATTGTGAATAAGGCTTCCAAACCTCATGGGAACAGTGCTAAGCAGGACTAATGAACAAGTTATTTCTGCCTGCCTAGCTGTTACAACTCATATTTTCAAGTTTTCTTCCCTTAAGACAAGCACTAAAAACAAATTTCAAGACAGAACCAAAATCTTCCTGTAGTCAGATGATTCCTGCTATTGGGGATTTGATTAATAACTGCACCATATATTGCCAAGCCCATAAGAAAATGGCAACACTCTCCCTTTTTTGGAAAACAAAATCAAACCCACACCTTGTAAGGCCTCTTTGACAGTGGATTACTACCCAGACTTTCTCCACTGCCTATTTCTTCACCATTATTTTTGCTCATCATACCAGAAAAAAAATCTCCTTCTCTTTAAAACACTATCCTCCTTTTGCAAAAGACTTTTCTTGTTTTAAATAAATCTTTTATTGTCCCATAAGCAAATAAAGCACCTCAAATGAAGGTACACTTCTAATGTAAATGTTTCAGTTTCAAAACACTCACAGGTTTTTAGAAGTAGTATTACAAATCAGTTCCTAAGATTAAAAGTGGTGTTACTAAGCATTCAATGAAAACTGACCACCAAGGAGTGCTGTGGTCAGCTTCACTGCCCTGTTCTGATTAAATTGCATTGTATGAATTTGTTACTGCAGTGAACAAACAAGGGCCATTGTGCCACACTGAATCATAATTCTGTATTATCTCCTTTTGCCAAGCTGTTCTACACCACCATCTCAAAGATAAAAACCTCTTAACCACAAGGAGATTTGTTTTTGTTTTAAAAATCAATGAAATTAAGTGGTGCTCAAGCCTTGTCCTGAACTTGGCAGCTCTGGGTTACACCACCCTCCAGACAGCACAGACCACCACATCCATGCCATCCTTATAATGGTCCAAAAGCTTCTTCCACCTCAGAACACAGAATTAGGGTTAGAACTTCTGACAAATTACAAAGGGTCAAACCAATTTCTCTCCTCTAGAATAGCCCACCAATTTCATGCCAGGCTGATGCTATGCAAGGTTTAAGAGGAGGACTTAGCCATTATGGGATGGGGAATGAAATATGTGCACAGTACCACAGTCCCTCCCCATCCTGAGAGAAAAATCAAAGCACAACATGTACTGGGAACTACAACCCAGACTGAGAAGACAGGAAGGAGTCTGCAGTCCCCTCAATCTCCTCTGTCCCTCGAAGATCTGTGCACAGCTCTATCCACCTTCCTACAAATGGAATTAGATGGAGCACCTAATTCCACCTGGAAGTTGCTGAAGGTGGCAATGAAGGTGCTATTGATGCTTACAGAGCCTTTTGAGGCAGCAGGCTGAAAGAGGAAGCAACATCAGGGCTCCTCTGAGGGAAGTATTCTGGGAACCCCAAAGGAAAAGGATATGGATTTTATTATGGCAGAAATACAGGGATGCCTGTAGTCCTGCTGGGCAAATGATGGCCTCCAAACTCATGTGGAGCACGTGCAGCTTTGGAACAGCACACCAAGGTAGGTCTACACACACTTAGCCAGTTGCAGAGAAAAACAAAGTGTAGTTAGAGCAATGGGGTAAAGAGAGCTATTTTAAGAACTACTGTGGTTTACTGTTGTAGCAGAACACTTAGAAAAGCCTTCAAAATGACAATCACTATCTACATTAAAAAGACAGGTAACTACTCCAATAGCAATTTATTCACCACCTAATGTTTGCAGTTGAATTACAGCTTTTACAGTGTTTTTATCAAGTGTGATATTTACTGCCTCCACCTTGACTCCCCAAGACCTTTTCTTCTCTTTTTTCTTTCATTTTTTTCTTTAAATAGAAAGGAATTGGAATCATGACTTACATGTAACTTTTCTAGGTTCTGTGCTGGCTAAAATGTTCTCACGATGCAGGGAAGAGGATCAATGGAGAAATTAAGAGGCTGCAGCAATCCATTAAGTGACCCTCCAAAGTTCTGTAGGCCAATGTTCTGGCAACTCAGTTGTAACAACCTAAAATAAAATAAAGTCAGGCATTAAAAAAATCAAGCACTGAATCTTCATAAACCCCTCTTTGTTTTTTCCTTTTAATTCTAGAAAAAAAAAGTTGTGATGCCTTTTTTTTTTAAACACAGAAGGTCTTTATGTCAAACATGACAATTAGATTATGCCCATTACATACCTCCTCCAACCTTTAAGCTGTAGATACTTTGCATTCGTATAGTGCCCAGACATATGAGGCCCCTGAGAAGAACTGCAGAACAGATAAACTAATACTTCTGTGATTATTCTACCAGATCATATCATAGGTATGTGCATACTTATGCAGACATACTAAGGACTTCTTTACTGTGAGGGTAGTGAAGCAGTGGAACAGGTTGCCCAGAGAAGTTGTGGATGCTCTGTCCCTGAAGTGTTCAAGGCCAGGCTGGATGGGGCTTTGAGCAACCTAGTCTAGTGGAAGGTGTCCCTGCCCGTGGCAGGGGGATTAGAAACAGATAAGCTTTAAAACTCAACCTAAACCTCCCTGTGGTCTATGAAACTGCACATCACACCAGAAAGGTGTTCTAACAAAACCAGCAAAATTATCAAGCCAACTTTAAAAAATAATTAATACTGGCCTTTGTCAAAGCTTTGATTTTATCAAACATGATATTTGTTACTTTGTTTCTGCTTTTTCTGGGGAGCTTCAGAGAAGAAACACCATCAGCACAGTTTGGTATCCCCGGGTTAATGCAATGTGTGTCATATTCCTCCAGCCTCCCTAAAGCAAAGCTACCTGTCATGCCATGTCAAAAGAAAACTGGAGAGAGAATAAAGCGTTCATCTGCCCACAGCAAATTCACTGTGCTGCCACAGCCGTGCCAGGGGCTCAGGCTCAGTCCCTGGAGGGGAGGCACTCAAGGATGGGGAGAGCTGGTGAGAGCAGGGCTGGGGCCAGGGGTCTGGAAAGGGGGGGTGAACCCCCCAGCACCCGAGTCCTAGCATCACTGCACCGCCCAGATCCCACATAACACACAATCCCAATCCCAGACTCCTGAAAAGGCTTCCCCCATCTATGAAGCAAGCGGTCACACTCTGAAGTAGTTGGGGAGGAAATACTTGTGGAAGGAGAAGTAATTATTTTTAAGCTACAGGGGTTTTCAAGTTGCCAGTGCCCAACACTTTACTGTTTTCCTGGTAAAAAACATTTGAATACTTAAGTACTATTTACTTGAGTGAAGTTGGCAAATGGGAGTGGAAAGGAAGACGGTTTTCTTTTGAACTGAAGGGGACAGCAGCAGAACAAGCAGTGGCATGTATCTATCTTACCAGGATCACTGCAAAGGCTGTGTCTGCAGAATTACCACAAACTAAAGCTAGATGAAGGGGGATAAACCCCAAAAGTTTAGATTTTTTTTTAAAAAACTACTATTATTTTTCCAAAATTTGCAAAATGAACTCTTCAGTAAAAGTTCTGTTTTCTCAAGAGATGTCTACTATGTCTATTTATGACTAATGCTTATTTATGACTCCATAAAAAAGAAAAAAAAAATAAAAAACAGTGCAAATGAGAGAGATTTGGTTGTTGTTTTTTCTATGCTGTTCCTGGTAAAAAAGTTCAATATTTTCTAAGCATTGATCCTACAGCATTCTACTCCAAGCTTTGCAGAGAATTGGTTCACTTATGAAAAGTAGGTTATTTCTTCTGGATGGCACCCTCCTAGATGATTTACCAACAGATGCTCAAAATATTGCTATCTTTAAGGAAAACCTAATTGGGTACTTGAAAAGACTCATGAGGCTATGCTAGGAACATAATGCTTATGTCTCTTCAGTTCATATAGTTTTCTCCAATTGGGTATAATGTTCATTGTCAGAAGAGTGCCAAATATTTATGGTCACAAATACACATTACCTAAATTGCCTATAAAACTAAAAATATAAACTCTGTTCAGTCATAAATCACTAGTAGAACAAAAATAACTGTTGCTTACTCAATGGCCAAAGGAATGAAATCAGGGAAGGCTCTGTGTTTTCAAGGACAAGTTAGTTTTCTGAGCTAAAATTGCACTTGCCCCAGCATATCAGAAGGAAAGGAGAATAAACAGAACTGGGGAACAGGAAAACAGAAAAAAAAAGGGGGGGCAAGAGAAGACTTTCAGCACCACTGAAGCTTTTCTGAGAAGGGCTGATTGATGTTCACTGCTGTAGAAAGCATGAGGCTGCATCCCAAGCATTTCATTCCCTTCTGCAAATGTCTCACTCCATATCTCGCCCCATGTTCCCCAGATATTCTTGCCCTATGTGTGATGATCCAGCCAGCATCAGGTTTTACACATGATCTAAAAGACTAAAGCAGGAATCTCTCTGCCCAGGGGTCAGCTTAGGGTAGAATGAAATCTAACCCCTGCCTACGCTCAACACGAGGGGTTCTTCATGCTTTCCATTCAATAAAGGACTTTCTGAGACAGGCAAATTACTAAAGGTAAAACTGCTGTTACAGCTGCAAACTTATAGCAAAACATGAAAATTGAGTTTATATGAAATGAAGAGCCAACGGTGCATCTACTGAAGAGGAGTTTCAGCAGTTTAACATGCTGATTGGCCAGGTTTACAGCATTGGGAAGAGTCAGATCTTAGGCAGGGGAAGATGCACTCTCTGCTTCAAGGTTTGCTCACATCAAGGTCTCAGCGCTCAGCACAGACCTGCACATGTGGGCCATCAGTTACAGGATCATGAGAGGCCACAAAATCATTGTTCTATGTCAACCTGAAGACCCGGCTCCTGGAGTCTTGGAGGTTGCAAGAAAAACTCATATTTATTTTAAAAATAAGCATCTGCCTTAACACTATGCAGAGAAATCTAGAAAAGTAACAATACTTCAAACTGGATACTATACATTTTTCTGGTCTTTTAAAACTTATATTGTTTAACAACCTCTTGCACATTTTTGAACCTTTCCTTCTTTCTCATGGCTTCCAGCATTGCTTGGCAGCTGAAATTAGCATTAAGGAATGCAAATGTAAAGGAAGACACATCAGACACTCAAACTGGCAGAAGAATGCATGAAGTTGAAAAAGCAATAAAACATCTTCCAGTTTGGATTTTTGTCATATGGAGAGAACGTTTCAAAGAGAGGGTTTGTTTTTAATAGGGCTTTAATGCTTGAGAGGAGGAAAACTGGTAAGCTCTTCAGTTTGCAATGAACAAACCAAGAAAGGTGAGAAGAGCACAATGAATGTGCCTGGGTATTGCTCTGGTTATCATGAAAGATGTTTCAGACACAGAAATTTGTGTAGTCCTGCCCAAGAAAACTGGAGAAGCTGGGTGGGCAATGACAGAGGTGAGCAACAGATACACAAATGCAACAAATACACAGTGTTTATCCCAATGTTCACTACAGGTGGGTAAAATTAGGGCTAAGTAAAGTGAACCCATACAAGAGAAGTTGGTGAGCTTCTCTCAGATGTGGACAGGAGAAGAAATAAAATTTAAGGAAGGCTGCACACCTGGGAGCAAGAAGAAGTGAGCACAGGTGTGCAAAAAGAGCTAGTATTTTCTGAAGCAGTGCCGTACTTGGTGGAGCGCAATGATGTTTCATAAACAAATGTGTGCAGAAACCGGTACCAGTGAAGTCAAGGATCCCGGTTTTTTACATGCAATACCATCACAGATTACCAAACATGTTTTCTTTACATTTTGTGAGTTTTTGAGTGAAGCTGAAGAATATTTCTTTCTGTGTGAAATAGCTTCATTGGAACATTTGTAACTTACAACTGCTTGAAGGGTCGCCTGAGGCTGAGAAGGCATTTGCAGTGCTTCTGACATCTAGTGTGTGATCTCTCCCTGAAATCTGTAAATTAAACCCAAGGTGATATCGATACCTATATCAGAAAAGATACATGGTCTGCTTTACCCTCAGTGCATTTAATTTCCTCATAATAACCAGCTTGGTTATTCCAAAGGGAAGGAACATGCTCATCCATCACTCCTGCTTGTGCCCACATGCACCATTTACCCAGGGGCAGGCAAAATCAGGAGTTGGGAGGGGACAGCAGCTTTTTCCCTGGTGTCCAGAGGTGGCATGCAGAAAACCAGCACAACCAAGGATGTATGGACCAGAAACAGGGAGGTATCCATCCCAGGACTGCGAGGACCAGCTCTGCAGTGGTCCCTATCTGGGTGAGCTGTGCCGACAGTCATAGGAGATGAGATTGAGCTGTTCCCTCAGATAATGGCAAAACAACGTGAGGAACCAGTCTCGCTAGAAACCATGACTGAAGTCATCAGGAAGAAGCATCAAGACAACCATCTCTGGCTGGCTGCAGGCTGCTGCTGCCCTGTGCCAGCCAGGGAAGTGCTCAGGGGTCTGCAAACTGGGTTTTCCTGAGCTACTCTAAACCAAACCAACTAGACTTAAACAGAAAACCTTCAGAGGAGCTGGAGGATGTGCATAGGGGGAATTTTCCACCCCTCCTTCTCTGGTTGCAGTTAGCTCCGTGACACATCAGCCAGGATGGGCTAGGAGAGCCATACGTCTGTAGTTCAAGAGTATCACCATGGGAACTTGTAAATCTTTTTATGTAAAACCTGAATTACTTTCTCATTGGAATATACTTGACTTAAAGTCACCACTGAAAACATTTTATCTTGCGGGTATGACTCATGAAAGAATGGCTAGGTGTGAAAGGAAAGTTAATATATGCTGTGAGAAAGACCACCTCCCCAACAACAACATTATTACATGATATGAGTATTTATACCCCATGTAGTAAAACCAACAGACAGCAAAAGTCACAGCCTAATACTTTGTGTCCGATCTGATGAAAATTCAGATATATGGCTTATTTCTCCTTAAAGGCCGGAGAACTTGGTTAACACACATGCAAACAGGAGAAAATGAGATGGTTCAGTGACAAGGATGAAACTGCTGTCCCTGAGCCTGGCATCTCAGAAGATGATACTGGAATAGCCAGCGCTGGGTCTCTCAGAGAAGGATGCTTCCCAGGACAGCACAGAATGATGCAGC